TATGCCAGAGTTGGCTTCATTTAGGTTAATGCCGGCGTGTTGCTCCTAATAAATCTCTTGGATTCTTTTGAAGCTTGGGCCGAGGCTCATGGTTTAATTAGGGCAATTGATGGAACCCTGACAATAGCACTTTTCCAATATTTGCGGGGCTCCTACAAAGATGAAGGGGTCGAACTATTTTCCAAAGCCCCAAAAGGCAAGATGAGAGAAGCAACCTTGAACTAAGGAGAAATTTCCTAATGGTGAGAGCAATCCACCAATGGGACAGCTTGTCTCTGGAGGTTGTGGGAGCTTCATCACTGGAAGCTTTCAAAAAGAGACTGGACAATCCTTCGTCTGAAATGGTATCGGGTCTCCTGCTTCAGCAGGTGGGTTGGACTAGAAGACCTCCAAGGTCCCTTCCTACTCTATCTTTCTATGTTCTATGCCCCAAGTGTGGCCTCACCAACGTAGTACAAAGCAGCACTAGAACTTCACATGATCTTGATTCTATCCCACTGTAGATGCAGCCTAGGATTGCGTTGGATTTTTTTGGCAGCTGCAACACACACGGCTGGCTCATGTTTAAGTTGTTGTCCACTAGGACTCCTACCTAACTATGTAGCTACACGGCATAGCTGGCTGGCGAATCCTAAGAGTTGAAGTCCACATGCCTTAAATTTCCAAAATTTGAGGAAAAAAAAGTCAACTAGACTGGAGTCACACAATATTCCCAGTAATTAAAATTCACTAAAAATTAATGAGCTAGGCGAATATGTCCAGAATCAGAATATTGCTGGAAGAGGTCTTCTAATCCAACCCCTGCTCAAGCAGAAGACCTTATACCATTCCAGACTAATGGTTGTCCAGTCTCTTCTTCAAAAACCTCAGTGATGGAGCCCCCACAACGTCTGAGGACAAGTTGTTCCACTGGTTAATAGTCCTCACCGCTAGAAAGTTTCTCCTTAGTTCCAGGTTGCCTCTCTCCTTGATCAGTTTCCATCTGTTGCTTCTTGTCCTTCCCTCCGGGGCTCTGGAGAATAGGTGGACCCCGTCTACTTGGTGGCAGCCCCTCAGATATTGGAAGACTCTTGTCATGTTGCCCCTAGTCCTTTTTTCCATTAAATTAGCTTTGCCCAAATTCTGTAACGTGATTCATACTTAACGGTCCACTTGTTCTGTAATTCACCTGTTGAAACATAGTTGTCTGAACCCAACTAGTGAGTTACCCTTACCATGTTTGATTAGACCTTCAGCTTAGACCCTTCCCTGGGCTTGTACCCTAATGTCACAGGGAGAAATACTGTGGATTGTCATCTAGGATAGTAAGGAGAAGATCTTTTAGAGCTCTGAAACCATGTGCCGCATTTACTTGTCTAGATCTTTCTAGAGAAGTCTTCACGGAGCTCCCCTTTTTCACAGGGAGGGTCGAGGACAAAGTTGCAGAATTGTGGCCCCCAAGTAGACATTTCAAGAAAAACCCAAAGGACACGTATAGACTGGGTGAAACCAGGCTCAATAGCAGGAACTGGGAGAGGGATCTTGGAGTCTTAGTGGACAACTAGCTAAATAGGAGCCAGCCGTGTGCAGCAGCAGCCAAAAAAGCTAATGCAATCCTAAGTTGTATTAACAGAGGGATACAATCAAGATCAAGGGAGGTTCTACTACCATTCTACAAAAGCCTTAGTTAAGGCCACACCTAGAGTACTGCATCCAGTTTTGGTCACTATACTATAAAAAAAAAAAATTGAGACTCTAGAAAAAATGCAGAGAAGAGCAACCAGGATGATGAAGGGACTGGAGACTAAAACATACGATGAAGGGTTGCAGGAACTGGGCCTGGCTAGTCTAGGGAAGAGGAGGACCAGGGGAGACAGGAGAGCATCTTCCAATATTTGAGAGGCTGCCACAGAGAGGAGGAAGGGGTCAAGGTATTCTCCAAGGAACCTGAAGGCCAGACAAAGAATAGTGGATGGAAACTGAACAAGGAGAGATTCAACCTGGAAATAAGGAGAAATTCTCTGACAGGGAGAACAATCAACCCATGGAACAGAAGTTGCCTTAGGAAGTTGTGGGAGCTTCATCCCTGGAAGCTTTCAAGAAGAGACTGGACTGCCATCTGTCAGAAATGGTTTAGAGTCTGCTTGGGTGGGAGGGTTGGATCAGATGACCTTCAAGGTCCCTTCCAACTCTGTTAACCTGTATCTTCCATATTTTTGTAAATGTGGAAAAAAAAAATCAACCCTTCTGTAGAGTTGTAATTGCAGGAATGTTCCAATCTCGGATGGCAAACCTCCGATCAAGAATGTTTCCAAGCAAATACAACTCAGGTAAACAAAGTCACTAACCTAAAGGAGGATTAGAGAGAGGAAGTCAACATATGTTAGACTTTAACTAGAGATAATTAATTGTATGGATTCCTGTGCTAAACAGGAACGAAAGTTAAGCCGTAACCAAAGTTAACCAGTGATGGAGGATAACTAAAAATGTGTATAAATGCAAGACTAGACTCCAAGAAAGATCATCATGATTCAGTTGTTCACGATCAAACACCTCGACTGCCTCGTCATTACAACACCCTTCCTTTCCTCTTGTTAGAGACAATGAACCTCAGATTGTAGAGCTGCCTGGGCATTTGATACCTCTGGCTTAATACCCCGTTCCAGAATTACAACTCATTACAAAGACTGAACTTTGAGAAATCAGATAAAAAGAGAAGACTGAGCTCCTTATCAACATCTCCCTGGCGCCTGATCCATCACCACCCACTGCCTGCCATTGATATAAATGGTGGTGCCCCTTCAACGGTTCTAGAACCCGGAGGAGGAGGAGGTGAGGTGGCTGAGAACAACCTAGAAACCGACTGAAAATTAGCAGGTCGAAAGCCGAAAGATTCTCCGTTCTCCATTAAACCTGAGCAGAAAAAAAAAGAATCCAGGTAAAGGAAAACAAGGTGGATGATCGGGGCGCAGTTCTTTGATTTATTCCTTCTATTCCTTTGATTTCTTTATTAAATTTACCTGCCGGCCATCTGCAGCTCACAAGTCATAAAAAGATGAAAGAGAAAAAGAGTCGAAATGGTTAAAGTATGTAAATTAAAAATAAAATGAAACAGGCTGGGTGAAACCAGGCTCAATAGCAGGAACTGTGAGGAGGATCTTGGAGTCTTAGTGAACAACCAGCTAAATAGGAGCCAGCAGTGTGTAGCAGCCGGCAAAAAAGCCAATGCAATCCTAAGTTGCATTAACAGAGGGATACAATCGAGACCAAGGCAGGTACTAAGACCACTCTATAAAGCCTTAGTAAGGCCATGCCTAGAGTCCTGCATCCAGTTTTAGTCACCACATTATAAAAAAGACATTGAGACTCTAGAAAAAGTGCAGAGAAGAGCAACCAGGATGATGAGGGGACTGGCGACTAAGGCATATGAAGAATGGTTGCAGGAACTGGGCCTGGCTAGTCGAGTGAAGATGAGGAGCAGCGGAGATATCATAGCAGCCTTCCAATATTTGAGGAGCTGCCAGAGAGAGGAGGAGGAGGGGATCATGCTATTTTCTAAAGCCCCTGAAGGCCAGACAAGGAATAATGGATGGAAACTGAACTAGGAGAGATTCAACCTGGAAATAAGGAGAAATTTTCTGACAGGGAGAACAATCCACCCATGGAACAGAAGTTGCCCTTGGAAGTTGTGGGAGCTTCCTCACTTGAGAACTTCAAGAAGAGATTGGACTGCCATTTGTCAGAAATGGTGTAGGGTCTCGCACTTGGGTGGGGGGTTGGACTAGATGACCTATAAGGTCCCTTCCAACTCTGATTATCTGTTATCTGTTAAAATTAAACTATATGGAAAATCGGAGGCAGACAGTATGTCTTCTCTCCCCCATCCCGTTCTGTTCATGGCAGCTGTAAAACAGGCATAGAAATGTCTTATGAGTTGACACAGTACAGGGATGAGGTCTTTTTACTGTCAATCACGTTTTCTTCAAACTTTCCCACATTATAATTTTGAATTAAAAAAAAAAAAAAACCTTTAAAATCATGCAGAAAACCAGTAAAGGAGAGATGGATTGCACAGGGATGAGATCTTACGCTGCCAATCACCTCTTCATCAAACTTTCCCAAATTATAATTTTGAACAGGAAAGAGAGAATTATCGCACCCATATGTGGAAATCCTAAAAACGCAATGTATTTAGCTCAGGGGTCATCTGGGACCCAGAGTAACAGAATAACAGAGTTAGAAGGGACCTTGGAGGTCTTCTAGTCCAACCCCCCTGTTCAGGCAGGAGACCCTATGCTGTTCTGCACAAACGGACGTCCAGTTTCTTCTCGAAAACCTTTAGTGTTGGAGCGTCCACAACTTCTGGACTTCAGCCCTAAGCCACAAATATCCTGTTGGTAGAATGTACTTGAATTCAAATTGTATCTAAACGACAACCAATCAGTTGTGGGTTTTCTCCCTGACTTGCACTTTTGGGAGAATGCAAATGTCCCAGACGTTGGAACAAGCTTAGTTGGGTCAACTGGGCCCAAATTGGTGCCATCTGGATCTCTGAGGAATCATGTCCGAAGAAGATGCCAGCTGTGTCTTTGGTGATACAGTCCTTACAACAATCTTATCTCCTTTCCTCAATTCCTACTGAGAAAGTAGATGGTATCAAAAGGTTGATCTACTACCAGTTGTAACTCAATTTCAGGAAAAGGTTCTTATGGGGGTAAAAATAATAATGGCATCAGAGGACTTTTCACCAATGGATCTGATGTTCTTGACCACAGCAGTGAGGTGACCAAGGATTGCTCAGGTGTCTGGCTGCCCTATCTTGCAATCCAGGTGACCAAGGATTG